CACTTGGTGAATAATATCTGTGCCAATAAATGGTAATGATTGAGGCTCTATTATAGAAACAAGGTTTTCTATGGGATTTCACCCCTCATCTTTCTTTCGTTTTAACACCTAAATTAAAGAGTGATAAACGTTTGCAATCATCAGAACGATACAGAGATGACCTCAACAAGATGAGAAGTGAAATAGAAAATATCAGTGACAAGCTGGACGCTTTGACAGTATCAAAACAAGAAACAAAGGATGAAGGTAGGTTGGCAGACCCGACAAACAAAACACTGATCGAAACTGTAAACTGAAGATTCGATAAAATGTATTTCTTTGAAGGTATAGTCCAGGACACTCGCTAGTTGTTATTGTTTGTTTTTTCTTTTAAAAATAATTTGAATGCAAGTTAACAAAAGCGGCCGTTGTTTAGGTAGAACTAACTTATTCAGTTAGTGACTAATGTCTGTGTTAATATTGTAGTTAAGGATTAAAAACAGAATCTTTACTACATGGCCTAAAGGTGGGTGAATGTTGATCCTCAGAAAACCTCAGAGACAAGTTTGAGCAGCTGAAAGATGAAATGGTAAAACTTGGGGAAAGTTTGGAGAACTCCCTGGAGAACTTGAGGCTACAAAGCGGAGAAAGCGACGAAAGGGGTTAGTTGTAAAACGTTTCAAGTAATATATTAGACACGAAGGACCGTGTTTGACCACAAACAACGTGAAGAGAGTTGAAAATACGACGCGTAGCGGAGTATTTTTGGCGAACTTCGAGGTGTTTGGAAATGTGGTCAAACACTGTCTTGAGTGTGTGATCATATCTTGATTTGTAACTTTTGAATTTCTCTTTCTCAATTAACAAATTGGTCTGTTAGTCGCGTTTGTTGCCTGCAATTGTTAGGGTCAAAACACCAATCTACACTCAAGCTCACTGCTCAGGATCACTGACCTAGATACTTCTAGTAAATGCTGCGTGTATAAGCCATATAAAAAATCAAACGTTCGCGATTACATGTGAAACATTCAAGATGAAAGGGGTGATGTGAACTTAAAGGCAGAAAAGTAAAGCAGGGAACCCAGCCAATACAATAATTGGGCATAATTGAGGATCGAGGTAGAGAACAGAAATTCTAATAGAAGCCAAAATCTCAACCGTCTTTGACAAAACAGAACAAAGGATGAAGGTAAGTTCCCAAAAGGTTTCAACGCAGAATCTTTATTAAAGTGGAGTAAATGTTGATCCACAGAAAACCTCAACGACAAGTTTGAGCAGATAAAAGATGAAATTGCAATTCTCGGGGAAAGGTTGGAGAACTTGAGGACGCAAAGCGGAGAAA